AATTTGTAATTAGTTGAGGTCTTCATGCAAAGCTGAGACTATTATTGAACCCTGTAGTTCAAACTTCAAATCACAAACCTGGTACCCTTGCCAAACCAGGCGTCCACGCAAAAGGAAAATAAGTGTATAAGCAAGGGATTCCAAATCATCTCTTCTGCTACCAGTTCTGCCTAAATGAGCATGCACACTGGCATAGCGAACAGTTCCTCTGAAGTCCAAAATAAATATTCAGCAAACAAGTAAGAAATGTAACAAAACCAAGAAATGATAGAGAAGTACTTGCAAAAGTGATTTTGGATTGCTTTAAAATGATTTTACGTACAATGCAGCTATACCTGAAAACATCTGGTCTTTGATCATATTCAACGTGTAGCCCAGTAGTGCTATCCCTCCATCTTGTGGCTAACATATGCAAGTAGTTTTTAGAAACGAGAAATAAGTCACAAGCAGGAAAAGAAATTTTACCATTAAAAATGCAAAAATGACATACCTAAACCGAGATCAGTCAGAAACAGCTTCTTCTCGTCAGGGGACCCTGGTGAGCCGAGCAAGAAATTCTCAGGCTTCACATCCCCATGAACATACCTAATATATTTTGGAGAATAATTTGAGTAGTGTGTCAGAAAATATCTAAATATCCATATGAAACACAAATCAAGTGAAGCTTCAAAACATCTTCTCAGTAGAGCTTAGTTTTCAATGAAATAGTATAAACTGGGCAGAAGAATCTTCATCCAAACATGCCAAAGAAATATAATAGGATATCATGACTACATAAATGAAACTGAGCCATAACAAAGACATATAAATCAAATAAAAATTAAAAAAAAAAAAACTTTATGTAATCAAAATAACATACTGTAGAAGTATGGAAGTCTGAAACTTCATATTTGTTCGTTTGGTTTTACATAGGGGATAGAGGTTATCAAAGATATAAAAATGGAAATGTTAAAGCTTTTCACTAAGTGGGCAAACACAAACAAAATTAAAGAACTATACAACAAGGTGACAAAATAACTTACCCTTTTGAGTGCATATTCTCTAATATAGAAATTGCTTCAATTGCAATACAAGCCACCATTTCAATAGACATCCTGATTTACGACAATATAAAAATTTAATGACAATATCTGAAGATGGTCAAATAATAGAAGACCTAAAGCAAAGTAAATCTTCAGACTGAGACACTCACGAATGGGCATTATTATTCCAAACATCCCATAAGTTCGGTCCAAGCATATCCATGACCTGTGGAATTCAGGTGCCCACTCAGTAACCTGAATTCTAAAAATACAAGGTCATAATGAAAATGTGTGTGTGTGTGAGAGAGAGAGGAGGAGGAGAGAGAGAATATGTAACAATTTACCATCACATAGTAATCGCCTTGCCGGCCTTTGTAGTGCACCCGTGGTACACCATGACTTCCTCCCAGCGTGCTACACATTACAGTACAGGAAATAAGATATGAGCAATCATTAATCAACTGAGTGCAATCATGAATTAATCCAAGGTAGAAGCAGGATATATCAAAGGAGACTTACTTGTAAACTTGCCACTCATAAGGGGGACCATAATTACAACTTTTGCTATTACGGTGTTCCAATTTTAGAGCCACCTGGTCATGATCAAAATGAACAGTGTCACTTGGGCATAATAATGCTAAAATCATGGAAAAGCACAAATAAGTTAAGCTAGCAAACATACCTCGAACGCTCCAGGACCAGTCCTCTCACTAGTGCTACCACCAGTGATACGGCGACCAATGTACACTTGTCCGAAACCTCCCTTCCCGATTTTCCTATCAATTTTGTACATCGGTGAACCACCAACTTGCACCTGTAAACCATGGAATTAAATTAACTTCTCAATCAGTATCCATATTCCCAGCGCAGCCAAAGCACATACATTCGCCAGTAGTTGTTGATTTTGCAAAAGTTCAAGAAATTGATTATCAGGTCATGTGAATTCTTTAGAGTATTGGACCAGAATTCTCTACGTATACGTCTAATGACTATATATGCCCAAAGACCAAATGATCAAATAAAATTTTGTGACGACTGACGTGTATATACTAAATTAGCGACTTCCATTTAAACCTGTATTCCCGGAAAAGGCGATCCTATACAGATTATCCCATGCACCTACAACTAAACAGGCAATCCAAGAAAATGTGAAAATAAAAATTCTAACTTTCCTCACAACACCACCTTCAAAGGCTTCAATATTCCATCCCACTCACCAATAGAATACATGCATGCAGAAACTCTACCACTGTTTCACCTCCATAAAGAAATGCATCCATAAAACAAGGAAACAAAAAGAGAAAAAAAGAAATAATAACATAAAATCCTTCAATATAACAAAAAAAAAAAAAGAATGAAAAAGACAATTCTCACTTTGTCGGGTAGAGGCGCCGGAAGTTCATCCTCACCACCACCATTTGCCTTTGGTGGGCTTTTGTCGCCGCCATTGTCATAATCATCCATCTCCCTCTCTCCTTCCTCCACCGCTACCCTCTCCTCAAATCCCTGCTTTCCCTCACTCAGTTCCTCGACAACAGGCGCCTGAGCCTCCGCTACTGCCGCTGCTGAATTAGGAGCAGCAGCTATCTTCTCATCAGTGGGCCCCACAAGGGCTGCTTCCGCTACTCTCCTCCTTGTCCGAGTGGCGATTCCCGCGACTCCCCGATTTATTTTCTTGTTCTCCTGGTTTTGATTTTCAATATTACAGTTGATAGCCTTTTTATCGTCGTTGTTTTGCTTTCCCCTCCGGCCTCTGCGCGCGCTCCGCAACGCAGTATTGGCATCGTTCATCCTCCAAATCTCACGCACCGATAACAGGAAAAACAGAGCTTAGCAAAGGTGCAAGATCGTGGCCGAGAAAATTATCTATGGTATACTTTCCCTTTGAAACTTGAAACAGATAAAAGTAAAATAAATAAGAGATTTGCAGAGAAGAAGAAAGTGATTCGATTTCAGAGAGAAGCGGGAAAAGTGAAATCCAAACCCAAACAAATCGAATTTTGCTCTATGAAAAGTAGGCGCGATATTTTTGTCTATATTTTTTGGACGTTTAATGGCCGTCGATTCGAGCGGATGAACGGCGGAGATAAAATGTTATATTATGGAGATCTTCCGTAATTAAGGGTTCTAGAAATGCGAAAAGTTGGTGATTTATTAAATTATTACTAACACAACATTTCCCCGTAACTTTATATGAAAATAAAAAAACAAAATACGTAAGAGATATTTTATTATTTGAATTTCAATATTTTTATTAAAAGTATAAATTACCGGTCTTATATTTTCTAATATAGATTTCAATATTTTTAATTATTATTTATAATATTATACGCCCAACATAAATATTATCTACAATAGCATAGCATTGAAATTGTATTTTCTACTTATAGTTTGTTTGTCTCATATAGAATTATCTTAAATTATTGTATTTGATGATAAAAAAAAATATAAACTATTGTACAAACATGAGGTTTTATAACTTTGTGAAAAATAAAAAATATTTTATTATTTTAATTATGATACTCATTTATATTTTTATTTTCAACATCATAACAACATTCAAACTCTTTATATACCTTATTTATATCGAGACGTAACTTTTAAAATATTTTTTAATATTCATTCACATCTTTTCTCAAATCTATAAGAACAATACACTAAAATGATTATTTTGTGGTAATTAATATTTTTCTAGATCAGTTTAAAGTTGTATTTATATTTTTAATTTAATTTGATAATTAAATTTAAATTTTATTTAGGAATACATATGAAAACATATTATATATGTCAAAAATTAAAAGTAGTTAAAAGATTATTAATTTTATACATCATACATCAAAAATAAAATACAAATATTTTTTTTAAATATTAAATATAAGAAGAATACATATTTATATGTGCAATATATAGATTAAATAAGAAAATAAAATGTAATATATACTAATTTAAAAAAAGAAAGGATAAAATATGATAATTTAAGAAAATGAAAATCACTGTAGTTCTCAAACATTTG